GTTAATGACATCAAAGGTGTGTTTGAAGCAACTTCATTAGTGACAAGAGTGCCATATGTTTACAGCAGGGCAAAATCAGTACCTCCCTGAAGACTCCAGGCAGGAGAAACAGGAATTTGGAAATGAATAAGAGGAGGAAAGAAGCAGATAAGGATAGAACCTTTAAAGGTAGCTCTTACTAAAAGCACACCTGTGCTTATTGCTGAATTTAATTCCTAGGAAAACGTAAGACAGAAACTTTTTTATTGTCTGCACTTTACAGCCCACTGAAAGGTCCACCCAAGCTAAGAGACTCGTATACATTCCCTCAGTGAATGAATGGGAGGCCCAGGAACCCACCTGCAGGCAGAGAGGTAGTGACCAGCATTGGGCAGGACTGAGAGGAGTGATTTAGACCTTCAGGGCAGCAGGCACTTGAATTTCAAGTCCCAGGCCTACCACCAACTGTGTTCCTGATCAGATCCCTTAATCTCCCTAAGCTTGTTTCCTCATCTGTGAAATGAGGATCCTGGCATTTCGTGAATGTTTATTCCTCATTCTTATGCAGATATCACGTTCTGCTGGTGTTTTGTACTCAGACCTTAGTGAGTTGGAGCTGCTCACTCTCCTGTTTACCAGATTTACTTTGCTCTACTCTAGTCTGGAAATGGATTTATCTTTGTATGCCCCTCTGTGCCTTTCAGATACTAGGGAAAGGGAGGGGAAAAAACCTTGTTAAATGAGAGAATAAGGAGGCTTTCCTTTAACTGTCTACATTTTCCCCGGCCTTACTTTCTCCAATGAAAAAGTGACAACCAAGCAGGGCATGGTGCCAATGCCTGTTATCCCACCTTCTCAGGAGACTGAGGCAGGAGGATTGCAAGTTCAAGGTCAGTCTCAGCAATTTAGCAAGGATCTAAGCAACTTAGTGAGACCCTATTTCTGAATAAATAAATAAATAAATAGATAGATAAATAGATTGGGCTGGGGATGTGGCTCAGTGGTTAAGCACCCCTGGGTTCAATCCTTACTGCAAAGCTAAAAACAAAAACAAAAACAAACAAAAAACTACCATCATGGTCCCTCTCCTAAAACCATAAGCATTTGGGGCAGAAAGAAAACAAAGAACAAAGTACTTTGGCCCCTTGAAAAACAGGATGCTTTTCAAGGCATAACCATAGCACATCATACTTAATCTGTGAAGCCTTAATGCATGTCTGAACAGGTGGGAGAGTGAGAGGAGAGGGGATCTTGGACTCAGGCGCCCTTGCAAAAGTGCTGTTCTCTCTTCCCCTCTTAGCAGACCTACAAAGTGGGCGCAATTGTGTTCTTTTTCAGATGGGAAACCTGAAACTCAGCTAGGGTAAGCAGCTTATCCAATTGTCTGATTCCAAAGCCTAATCTGTCCCTAGAACGCCCGTATCAACTCTCGTGGGACAATTCCACTTACATTTTCCCCCCTGCGTAGAGCTGTCCCTCTAGAAAAACTTCTCTGGGTTCTTCTCAGCAAAACCTAGACAATGCCACGAGCCCTTGAAGCTGCATTTGCAAATGCATTTGGAAATTCCACAAGCCCTTAGTTGTGAGCTTTTCGAAAGAGCACCCTCCGATGCTGCTGTCTGACAGGGGACACCATTTGGGAGCGGCTAGAGAGCAGCAGAGCGACTGGGCCAGCCTGGTCCTTCTGGTTCCCAAACCTGACAGGACTGTTCGCTCTTGCGCAGACTTCAGCTGGCTCAATGCATGACCCGTGCCAACTGCAGATACTTTGGAGGAATAGCTAACCAGAGTCAAGCTCCTAAGGAGACAGAGATGACTCAAGGCGGATTTGCTCCCCATTCCTTATTCCCAGGGAGAGTATTCATTATGCCTGGTTCTTCATCTTTTTTATGCCCTGGGGAGTATTTTAAAAGCAGTGACATTTTAGCCTTTTAGCAAGCAGATGTCAAAGACTGAGATGTGTGAGAAGGGGATAGAAAATGGATAGTTTACTGCCACTCTAGGCCAAAGTACAGAAGAGAAGTGCCTGCATCACAGCGTGGAAATGACATGCTCCAGGCTCCTGCTGCACCATGGGAGCAAGCGCCACATATCTTGGTGGATTTCTCCCGATTTCTCTGTGTCACAGTCTGATCTCGCTTTATAAGGAAGCTTGGGGAAACCTCCCGTCAGTGCACAACTCTCATCTAAACACATAGGTGGTTAAATTTCAGAACAGCGAGTGGCGCACGCCTATAATCCTGGCTACTCAGGAGGCTGAGGCAGGACCATCACAAGTTCAAGGACAGCCTCAGCAACTTAACGAGACTCTGTCTCAAAATAAAAAGTAAAAGTGTCTGAAGATATAGCATAGTGGTAAAGCTATATCAATCCTCAGTACTTCAAAACAAAACGTAACAAAACCTCAAATCTCTTGGACAAGATATTCTCTCTCCTTCTCAAGATGTAAATTGTTCAAAAAGATATCTTTATTTGGCTTTGAAATCTGATTCAAGTTCAGGGCTGTGATAAATTGCTGATAACTCTAAATTATCCTTAATGATAATATACATTTGATAATTTTTAGTCTTTAAAAAGCAACCAACCACAGGTTGCCAAACTTATACAATATACAATATTGTACAATATATAATAATCTCAATCATGCAAAAGTCCACACCTGTATAATTAAATATGCATTAAAATTAACAAAAATAATTTGATTACCAGTTTCAGTTATTCTCATATCATAAAAATTAAAGGCTATTTTTATTCTTTATACTTTTTCATTTTCCAATTTCTTCATAATAAGCATAGAATTATCTTTATACTCAGGAAGAAAGATTATATGGAAAAAGCCAAGTTACCTCTGCAGCTATAGACATCACCTATTATAAATTCAGATATTTAATAGGAAATTTAAGATGTGAAAGAACAGAAAAATTTCAGATTTTGAGAAAGAAGATTTGAAGGAAGACAAGGAGCTTATTGTTTTATTGTTTTCTTCAGCAGACGTCCAGGAGTTATTTGCATCTGATTTTTATTTTTTTTAATAGTAGTGGAGGCAGAACTCAACATACAAATCTTGAATATTTTGGGGTTTAATCCCCAGCACGCACGCGCGCGCGCGCGCGCACACACACACACACACAATGCCATAAGTAATATTGGAGACACCATTAAATGTGTTGCCAATCTCTGAGAATCCAAGTCAAGTCAATGATTTTGAACGTTGGAGAGTAGAAAAATATTGACGGAAGGGACAGCTCAAGTTCTCTCCTGCAGGTTCACTGGGAGCAGCAGAAGCACCCAATCCTGGGATGGCTGGCCCCAGTTCCATGCAACTCTTCCATTGACCAGTTGACACTGAGCAGTTCGCACAGCCTCACAGGCACCTCTACACTTGTTTATAGACGATGTGGGGCCCCAGATCTACCATTCTGTTTTCCCTGGCTAAGAATGGCATGACTCAAAGTCCAAGACTGCCACCACCCCAACTCTAATGTCCAACCAGGCCACTCCTTCCCTGGAATAGCCACTCAACCCCTGTGCAAGTGGGGTTTCCTCATCCCTGGGTTTCAGGTGTCCTCCCTCGGAAGATGTTGCAAGGACTGACTAATGCACATTAGTGTCCCAATAACAATGATATGCAGTGCAGGTGCTGGGAGTTCCACAGCCACAATAGCACTGTGGTGACCGCAAAGCCACCTTTGTGTCTTGAATCTGGGCTTTCCAAACCTACCATTTGGGGTTCCAGCTTAAGTCTCAGATGATGTCACTTTCCCCAGGGACTGGAAAGCATTCACAAGGATAGATGGATATGGCTAGTTTTATATAGTAGGGGAAGTCCGTTCTTAGGAAGCCAGGAGTGCCTTCTTCAGCACTAACCCTAACCCCTCAAAGAACAACCCCAGGGGGTTGTTATTTTCTTTCCTTTTTGCAGTGCTGCAGATCAAAGGCAGGGCCTGAGGCCACTGAGCTACACCCCTCCGCCTTAGCCCTGAGATTATCTTTCCCAGAAACCACTGAAAACATTGCCAACTCTAAAATTTCCTCCTTTAACCCAGAGAAGACGAATCCTCAGGTTTTGTCTTGTTTTTAACATTCCTCGTTAGCTCCTGAGATTCCTGTCTTGGTTTCAGGCAGCGCAGGATTCATCCCGCGAAGTCAGCAGCTTTATTTTATGTATGTTGTAGCTATGCATGTATGTATGGTGCTGGGGACTAAATTCTAAAATAAATAGGACTGGGCTAGTTTAGTTAGACCTCACTAGTCGTACTGAAATCGAACACAATTTTATTTATTAATTTATTTGGGTGTTGGGGACTGAACCCGAGCGCACGCCGGCAAAACCTCTATCATTGATCGGCACCTCCAGCGCAGTCCTAGTAGCTTTATATCCTCTCCATACACAGCGCAATTCGGGAGGTGGGTGGGGGGAGCTGGGTTTTTCCTGGGTAACAAGTGACAAGCTCGCGCCCACACGGACGGGAAAAGTCGCTCCTCTCCCAGGTGTGTGTTCCGAACATCTGAACCTGTTGCGTTGCTCTCCACAGGTCAGCCCCGTCTGTCCGGCACGGGCCTGGGAAACACCCGCAAGCAGGTGTTTTCCGGAGACCGTGCGGGTGCCCGGCGGCCGTGAGGTGGGGGTGGGAGGCGGCGGCAGCTGGAGGGCGGAGTCGCCCCGCGCCGGGAATCCTTTCCCCGCTTCTGCCTCGCGGAGTCGTCTTCACTCGCGGTGGGCCCCGCTCAATCGTGGGGCTGGAGACCGGGCCAAGCTCTCCGGCACCACCCAGAGGCCCAGCCCGCGCGCATCGGGCTCGGGGAAGCTTCGCCGGGTCTGTCCGGGACCGCGTCCCCTCTCCGCCAAGGCCCAGACGGAGCCCAGCGCCTGCTACTCGAGCCGCTGGCCCCGGCCCGGCGCGACCGCGGGAGGCAGGCGGCCCGTATGCAAATGTCCCGCGGGGGCCGGGGGACGCCTCCAGCGCCCGGGATAAAAGGCGGGGTGAGGCGCGCGGGGCCGCAGAAGTCGCTGCCTCCCGGGAGCCTGCCGTGCCCTCAGGCCCCCGCGCTCCTGCCCGCAGCCCCGACAGCGCGGTCCTCCCCGCGGCCCCCGGTAAGGACGCGCGGCAGCGCAGACACCAGGCGAGGAGGTGGGCCAGAGGCACCGACGCCGCGATTGCGACGCCGCACCCGGCGACCCACGTCCCCTCGGTCGGGACGCGCCTCCGTGCGCCCAAGGGACCCTAGTCCGCGCTTTCTCACTGGGAACGTGGGAAGCCGACTCCCACACCGCGCTCTCCGGGACTGAGCAGGTGGCATCTCCCTAGGTGCCGCTCTGGGACAGTTTGTCCCCAGGCCATTGGCAGTGAAGACGGAAAGAACTGCGTTTGGTCAGGGTTAGGAGGGACTAAGAGGATCTCAGGCTGGAATGAGTGGGAGTCAGGAGAAAAAGGCCAGGGGACCCCGGATAGTCCATGTTATTCTCCTGTTTTCCCCCCAGAAGTCCGGGGACACTCGGGAGGCAACGGGCCTGGAGAACCCGCAAGGGGGACCGAGTGGGTGGGTGGGTACGCGTTTGAATGAGCAGAATCGACTTTCTGGGCCCCTGCGCTGCACTGAAACTTCGAGTTACCCATCCCTGCAGAGTCGTCACCTCCTCTAGTCAAAAAAGTCGTGCTCCGCAGCCCCCTTCCTCCTTCTTATTTTAAAAAAGAAGAGACTTTCTAAAGTCTGTTTTTTGTTTTTATTTTTATTTTTTTGTACCGGGATTGAACTCAGGGCCACTTCATCACTGAGCCACATCCCCTACCCCTTCCCCCTTTGTATTTTATTTAGAGACAGGGTCTCTCTGAGTTGCTTAGCTCTTCTCTAAGTTGCCGAGGCTGGCTTTGAACTTGGTATCCTTCTGCCTCAGCCTCCTGAGATGCTGGGATTACAGGCGTTCATGCCAACAGGCACTGGCCTAAAGTTTTTGAAACTAATTCCAAACTCAAGGTTGGTGGATTAATCTGGGGTTTGTGATGGCTCCTTCCTTCATCCACCCATCCTGCACCCGCAAGATGCAATGTGTGAGGAAGAAAAATATCCCAGAGAGCACCCAAGTCTGACTTTCTGTCCCCGCAGCTTACGATGGCAGGCAGCAGTTGTGACCTGGGTCCTGGGGAGAGTGAAAGGAACCAGCCCTCCTGCTTAAAACCAGTCAGGGCCACCTGGGGATGAGAGCCTGTGAGTCTCCTGAGGGCTTCTCCGGAGGAGATAAGCACATTGCTTTGTTCCTATGGGTGTCTTTGGAGCTAGACTCATCCAGAGAGGATTAATTCTGAAGGCAGGGAGTGGTGACAAGTAGAGACATCTGACACATCTCTCCTCCTGTTTCTGTTTGTGTGCGTTTGTCTTGGTTCTAGACAGTGACTGGGAAACAGAAGACTGGAAACATGTCCGAGTTTTGGTTGATTTCGGCCCCTGGTGATAAGGAGAATTTACAAGCACTGGAGAGGATGAATACAGTAACCTCCAAGTCCAACCTGTCCTACAACACCAAATTTGCTATTCCTGACTTCAAGGTGAAATTCCTGGGGAGGGGAAAGGAGATGGTGGACTGGTGGGCAGGAAGCAGCCTCTGGGGAGTGAAGGAGAAAATAACAGGTCAAAGTGGGGACATTGAGGACAAGCCTGAGCTAGGGGATAGATAGGGGAGTCGGTGGGCTCCATGGGTCTTCAGGCCATGGCTCCAAACTAATTGTGGCACCTTGGCTTTGAAGCCCCAGGAGAGAATGAGGAGAGGGAGATGGTGGTGGTGGCAGCATCTAATGCTTCGTATAAGTGGGAAGAACCTGTGAATAGCAGGTCCTCACCGTGGTCCTGGGGACCTTCCTGTTTTGTCTGCAACATCTAAGAAGACCAACCCCAGACTTGGGGTATTCCGGCTTTCAGGCCTCGATTGTACTCCTGACCTAGGGGAAAGGCAGGAAATCCAGGATCTTTCTGATTTTATTGTGGGGGGGGGGCTGTACAGACAGCTGGCAGAGTGGCAGAGGTTTGGGGTAGTGCACAGTATCTGAGGACTCTTTAGTGGACAGCAAAATGAAGATAAAAGGGTAAAGAGGAGGAAGATATATACAATCCTCAAAAACAGTGGACTGGGGCTGGTGGTGTGGCTCAGTGGTAGAGGGCTGGCCTGGCACGTGAAGTCTTAGGTTTGATCCTTAGCACCACACATAAACAGAACACAGACTGGCAGTATTTCCTAAGACTGTAGGTTTCCAAGGGGAAGAGGTAGCTAAAGAATTCTTTGGGACCACACCAATGTACACACACTGAGAGTGCCAACCACCCAGAGTCCTTATAATCAATCCTCTTCCAATCCTTAGTTTGCCCCTCTGCCAAAAGAGTGCACTGTCACCCTGAGTTGTTGGTGATGCTGCTCCATGTGCCAGCATTTATTGAGCAATGTTCTGGCAGCCAGGTCCTGTAAACAGAAGATTCCTTGTGGAGTCTTCGAGGCTCCCCCTGACAAGGTTGGGATGGGCTGAGAGAAGCTTAGTGATTGCTAGGCTGTGGGGCTGGCAAGAGGACAGATGCAGCTGGGGTTCTGTATCCAGGGCTTGCTGCTTCTTCAAGCCTGCCTCTGTTAACCCTGGGGACAGACACTGTAGAGGTTAGTGAATCCAGCCTCCACTCATTTACTGAGCAGGGCACCGTGCTAGACTCTGGAGGATACAAAGTTAAACAATGACATGGCCCTACTAAAAGTTGCTTAAAACTAAGTTGCTTGCATGTCTATAATCCCAGAGACTTGGGAGGCTGAGGCAGGAGGATCTCAAGTTCAAGGGTGGCCTCAGCAATTTAGCAAGAACCTGCCTCACAATTTTAGAAAAAGGTATGTAGCTCAGTGGTAAAGTGCTCCTGGGTTAAATCCTCAGCACCCTTTGCCTTCAAGAATTAATTTTTTGAAAATAAGCAACTTCACCAATATCCAGTGGAGATTTCCAGGCTTCATCAAAGATTTATTAGTTTTTTAAATTTGGGGGATTCTGGGGACTTAATGCAGGGCCTTGCTCATGCTAAGCATGTGCTCCACCACGGAGCCATGCCCCCAGCCCTCCTTCATTGCTCTTAAAGTGTGGTTGGTCTAATCACAGGATGGCAAACCTTTTCTTTCTGATTCTGTGAAAAGACCTTTCAATACAATTTTACCGACGATGCACTCATTTCTGCACTAAGAGACAGATCATGCATAATCCACAAAGAAAAGGGCCTCGAGGGGATGTAGCTTAGGTAGAGTGCTTGCTTCACACAGGGCGGTAGGTTCTGTCTCCAATACTGAAGAAAAACAAAAACAAAAGAAAGAAAAGGACCATTACAAATGAGTGGGAAGAAAAGCTGCTCCCTTCTAATCAAGATCAATGTCAATAGCAGCAAAGAACAGAGAAAGGGATGGTGGTCCTGTCTTAGGGAAGAAAGGCTTTTAGAAAGGATAACTTGTTAAAGTTGCTGGGGATTCATCTCATGAATAGCAGGCTGCCTCTCTCAGAGGCAAATGAGCTGAGGTCAGCCCATGACGTAATAGTCCTTCCTATGGTGGAGATATGACAGTTTATCCTGTTGGTCCCTAAAATAAAATAAAAATCCTAAATCCCTGGGTTTCCCTTAGGAGTTCTTCCCACTTCTCAGTTTGGCTGTTGGCCAGGAGCAGCCAACTCCAGATGAAGGCAGAGTGCCTCACACTGCTGTTGAATCGACAGCCACGCCTCTCTGCCAGCCAGCACTAATTATTTTATGATCTTTCTAGGTGGGGACCTTGGATTCTCTTGTTGGTCTCTCTGATGAGTTGGGGAAACTCGATACCTTTGCTGAAAGGTAAAATATTTCTTATTTACTACATACAAGTGAGAATTTGACATTGTTGTCAGAGGACACAGTGTTCTTGCTTTGGCTGAATCAAAGTATGGACTCATACTCTAAACCTGGCTCCAAAAGTCAACAGAGTGATCAGGTGGGTCCCCTGGGGGAATGGGGTCAGCAGGAGCATGCTGGGCCTATCCTTGCTTTGTTTGCCGGAAATAGCATCTTTTTATTTTTATTTTTTTTGGTACCAGGGACTGAACCCAGGGGTGCTTGACCACTGAGACCCATCCCCAGACCTTTTAATGTTTTATTTTGAGGCAGGGTCTCTCTAAGTTGCTTAGGGTCTTGCTAAGTTGCTGAAGCTGGCTTTGAACCTGATCCTCCTGCCTCAGTCTCCTGATCTGCTGGGATTACAGGCGGGCCCCACCACCAGCTAGAAGGCAGCATCCTATAAGGGGTTGCCTTCAGTATGAAGATCATGCATAAAGCTGAGTCACTTAGAAAAATAATTGGTGCAATTCCCCTCAAGGCTTTTAAGTTTGTTGGTTTTTTTGATAATATATGTAAAAAAAAAAATCAAAGTACAAAAAAGAAAGAATGTAGAGTGAAAATTAAGTTTCCCTCTGATATGTTTTCCTCTTTCCTGTCCCCTGTCCCCTCATTCCCTTCTTCTGAGGCAGTGCTATGACTTTCTAGGCGAACTTTCCAGAGAGAGCCTATTTGAGCACAAGTCAACATGCATGTATTTCATATGTGCTCTCATAAAGTGCAAACACCTGTGTCTTGCTTTTTTGTTTAATAGCATACCTTAGAGAGAGTTCCATGTCAGTTCATTGCTGCACATTCTTTTTACTAGCTGTATGGCCTTAAATAGATGTACCCTCATTTATTTGATTTCTCTGTTGTTGGACATTTAAATTTTCTAGTCTTTTGCTATCACAGGCAGGGTGGTGATGCCTGTCCTTTGTGCACATGTAGAAGTGGAACACTTAAAAGTGGTTGGTAGTTCTGGGTCAAAGAGTCTTTGCAAGGACAGCTTACAGATATGTCCCCAGTGCCCTGCCAAGAAGTTGTTCATTCCATTCACACGCTCTCCAAAAGTGTATGAAATATCGTACGGTCTTAGCATGACATTTCTTTTTAAATAAGTTTATTACAAATTTGGTGCATAATCACTGGGAATCAGTTATAGCTCATAGAATAGCGTGAAAAAGAAACTACAACTCACCCATGATCACGTAGTCCAGAGACAAACACTGTTACATTGTGTTTACAGCCTGTACCTCCAATTTTCCCAGCACATATATTATTTATATATACATATACTAATAAAAGTAAGCCCATATTATATACATTATACATGTAAATCCATATTTTGCTGTTCTCTTCATATTTTAGATTTTTTTATGTATTGGGGGTTGAACCCAGGGGCACTTGACCACTGAGCCACATCCCCAGCCCTTTTTTTTTTTTTTTTTTTTAATTTTGAGACAGGGTCTTGCTAAGTTGCAAGGGCCTTGCTAAGTTACTGAGGCTGACTTTGAACTCTTGATCCTCCTGCCTCAGCCTCCCAAGCTGCTGGAATTATAGGTGTGCACCACTGTGCCTGGCAAAAATCGTTTTTTAAACTTAGTCTTTGAACTGTTATGGTAGAAATTGGTACTGTGGATTGAATTTGGGGCACTTTACTTCTAACTTACATCCCCACATCCCCAGTCTTTTTTTTTTTTTTTTTTTTCTTTTTTAAAAAAAATTTGAGACAGGGTTTTGCTAAATTGCTCAGAGCCTTTTAAGTTGCTGAGGCTGGCTTTAATCCTGCAAGCCTGCCTCAGCCTCCTGAGCTCCTGGGGTTACAGATGTGCACCATTGCAATTGGTGTGCAGGTCATAGTCTTTGAGAAAGAAAACCAACTTTGTCTTTCTCATCTATAAAGCGAGGTACAGTGACCATCTCTCTGCTTTCAGGGAGGAATGTAGGGCAGTAGAATAATGTTAAGTGTCATCAAATCCCAGGGCATGTCCTGTGAAAAATCACCATCCAGGAGATGTGGCTGGATTCCCAAGTGCCAGCTCCTGTCTGCGGCTGCTCTGTCTCTGAGGTCTGATGGACCTTCTGTAGCAAGAGGACAGATGCTAGTCAGATCTTCAAATCGGAGGACCCCAACCCTAAGCAAGGGCTCTGACAGATGCCATCGAGGGCAGCCCCTGCCCTTGGCTGGGAATGGCCTTCCGTGCTCCCTGCCAGCCCTGACAGACCACAGCACGAGGCTCTTCAGTCCTCGGCAGAAACACCAGCTGAAGGAAGGTGAGCTGCTCCGTGGCAGCTGCTCAGCACTCTGGTCTCAGCCCTCAGTGGCTGCCTTTCTCTCCCTCCGTCCCACTCACCAGTGCCCCCCGCTCTGAGCTTCTGTGGGCCTGGATTATTGCTGTTGGTTCCACCTGAGTTTCTTTCTTTCCTTTTCTTTTTTTGATTGTCTTTTTCTTCCCAATAGACAGTTGTATTTTGTTCTGTACGTATCTGTTGTACGAGTTGCCTCTGATGGTTCTATAGCATATTTGTTTATTGTTGTTGTTTTTGGAAATGAGGTGAACCCAGAGGTACTTAACCATTGAGCCACATCCCCAGCCTTTTTTATTTTGAGACAGGCTCTCACTAAGTTGCTTGGGGACCTCTCTAAGTTGCTGAAGCTGGTCTTGAACTTGCAATCCTCCCGCCTCAGCCTCCTGAGCCTCTGGGATTATAGGCATGCGCCACCACACCCAGCATGGTGTAGCATATGCTTAAAAAAAAAAAAAACTAGAAAATGCATGCACAAGCGAGTCGTGAGCTCTCGTTTTGAAACACAGAAACTGTACAAATGAGAGTGTTTTTACAAACAGGGACTAGGTGTGGTCGAGAATGAAAATCACTGTGCATTGTTTTGAGTTTTGCTTGTAGGTGTGTATTCCCAAGAGCTTTCCTGGGGGGGGGGGGGGAAGAAAAATAGTGAGGTTTGAGTGCCCTTAGAGTTTTAGCTTTGCTCTAGTCCAGGGCCTGGAACTGATAACTCCCAGGTCCATTTGGGAACAACCTCCCTGGCTCCGTGGAAAGTGCTCCAGTGTGATTAGATAAATAAACCCCAGCTGGGCCTGTAACCTAGGCAGCATAAACCTGTCAGCACTGCTTCTGCCCAGGAGGACAGAGAAGGGACAAGGGTTTTCAAGGTGTATTGTTTCCCTATCCTTTTATTATTTATTTACCGGGGACTGGAGTGTTTTTCCATGTCGCTGGAAGGCAGCCTTGGCTTATGCGAGCTTTCCCATTATTTTTTGATTCATTCTTTCATGCCACTGTGTTAATTTATTCTGCATTTACACGGTGATTCATGAACATTTGAGAAGCCCAGTGCTTTTATCTTTTAAAATCCACCCCCCACCCCGCCCCAACCTTTCAGCGTGTGAGTCTGTCCCAGCATCGTGGCCTGTCCTGCGGTCCTGGTTGAAATATTACATTTCACAGGCACTTGGCATTCAGCTATGCCTCATGGTTTCTCCGGGGCCATGTTGACTGCCTCTTGCCCCTGAGCGCGTTGCCTGTGTTGTGGAATAGCTGGTGGCTTTTTCTTTACCCACGTGGTTCGTGAAGCTGTCTGAGGGTTGGCTGATCAAAGATCACGGATCTGAGTGTGGATGTCCACTTGGTGATTCCAGTGAGTTCTTGTGGGGACCTTCTAAACAGGAGTGAGATGGAACGGAAAAAAGTGCCCAGGCTTCTCTTCTCTGTCCATGCAGAATATCAGGTTGAGGTTATCTGTGGACATTTCAGGCCTGTCCTGCACCCGCCCTTCCACCTGCCCCCCTGACACCTCTCCCAGCTCCTCCCCATGCCTCTGGACCTCCTGCTCGCCTTCTCCAAGCAGGGTGCCGCTCCGCTCCCTCCTCCACGGCCCTCACCCCCAGGGACAGGCCTGAGAGAGGCCGTCTAAGGCCGTCCTCTGACCCCATTCTGTTCTCTGCTTCTGTGAGTTAAACTGTTTTAGATTCCACCTGGGAGGGAGGAGAGGCTGTCCTCCTTTCTCTGTCCTTGCGCAGTTCACTATGGCATCTGCTAGCCACCGGGCTCAGCGGAGCTCTTGAAATGTGACCAGTCTGAACGCAGATGTGTGTCAAACACACGTCAGGTTCAAAAGACAGTATGGGAAAAATAACTTCAAATATCTTGTTATACTTTTTAATGTTAACTGCCTGTTAAAATGATAATATTTTGGATATTAGATGAAATAAAGTAGGTTGCTAAAATTAATTTCACCTGTTTTTACTTTTGGAAATGTAGTGATTAGAAGTTCTTGAATTACTTATATGGCTCCTGTAATATTTGTATTGGGCAGCACTGGGCTATAGCTCTGAGTGTTTCTCAACCTTGAACATGTAAGTGAGTGCCCTGGGGATCTTTAGACAACTCGGTTGTGACTCAGGGGATCTGAAGCCAGGGATTCTGCATTTCTTACCATGTTGCTGGCCTGCAGACTGCACTTGGCTTACCAAGGCTCAACACTTTAAATTAGTGGCTCTTCAACTTCAATGTGCGTCGGAATCATCTGGAAGGTTTGTTAGAGCATCCATTACTGGGCCTCATCCCTAGAATTTGTTATTCTGAGGGGCCTGAGAATCTGATTCTCTAAGCTCCCCAGTGGTGGCAGTGCTCCTGGTCCTGGCTGAGCTTTGAGAATGGCTTCTTCACCTGGTGGTGGGGCGATCTGTTTCCCCATGGCCCAAAAGATGTCATTATGACATGTGCATTTTTAGAACTGGTTCTTGGATGATACAAAATTTTCCAGTTCTGTTGGTGTGTTGATTTTCTCTTGGGGAAGGAGTACTGATATTGGTATATTGTGTTTTTGGAGAGAAGAATCAGTTTCATGAACTTTTTCAGGTTATTTGCATGAAGTCTACCAGGGTCTGCTGTAGCTGCACATTTCCCATTGATTTTGGTCTTTGCATTTTCTTTGGTTATGCTACCCATGGTCTACCTGT